CCTGCGCTCTTTCCTGCCTATGCAGGGGGTTGGACTCGATGATCTATTGAGGTCCCTTCCAACCCTAACATCTATGAATCTATAAGAAATATGCATAAGGTGGAGTTAAAGCACATAGACGGGTTATAACCAGGGATCGTGGTCCCCCCTGATAAAAAAATTGCAAATTCTCTAATAAACCCCCCAAAATCCGTGATTAAAATAAAAGCTCCCCCCAGATCTGCTGGTGCCCCTCACTCCACCCCAACAGCACCCTCAGCCCCACTGGTGCCCCTAATTCACTCCCACAACCCCCTCCAGCCCTGCTGGTGCCCCTCCCCCCCCAGCCCCCTGGTCCTGTTGGTGCCCCTTGCACTCACAGCCCCCTGGCCATGCTGGTGCCCCTCACTCGCCCCCACAGCCCTCTGGCCCTACTGGTTCCCCTCGCCCCTCCCCACCCGTAGCCTCCCCCCTCCCAAGCCCTACAGGAGGGAGCCCCCAGCTGCCAGGAATATGGGACCAGGGACCAGGTCCACAGCCCCCCCACCCCTGGCAGGAGGCTGCAGTTGTTGCAGCAGAGTGGAGCCCGGCTACTCCCTGCTGCCTGTCCGCTGCGGGCTTGGGCGGGGGAGGCCGGCTCACCACTGCTGTGCGCACTTCACAGGGGGTGAAGAGACCTGTGCCCCCGGATCTGAGCAGGCTGTGAACTTGGGTGGGGGAGGTGGGGCCAGCTCCCCAGTGCTAAGCACACTCCTCAGGGGGTAGGGGAGACCTGTGCCCTCCAGATCTGTGTGTGGGGTGGAGGTGGAGGTGCGGGCAGGCAAAGGCTGCTCAGGTTCCTGCCCTGCTGCCTATCCCGGAGCCTCCTCAGCCTGGTGGGAGCAACCCGGCGTGGCAGGAAACAGCAGGGCCACAGGAGAAGTTGCTTGTCACTCCAAGCTCTGCGCTGCCTTGGCAATGTGATCCCTGCACATGTGGCTAAAGTGAGGGCAGTGGTGTGGAGTTGTGACGATCAAAGCAGCCGCACGCACAGGGGAATGCATCACCAGGGCAGCACGGAGATCGCAGCGATAAGCAGCTTCTTTGCATGGCCCTGCTGTTTCCTGCCACACCGGGTCGCACCCATTGGGCTGCAGAGATCCTGGGGAAGGGCAGCACGGTGGGAACCTGAGCCCGAACCCAAGCCTGAGCCCACAGCCTGTGCTTGCCCCCACCCCCACCCCCACTCCATGCACAGATCTGGAGGGTGCAGGTCCCCCCTGCTCATGGGGAGTGCATGCAGCACGGGAGAGCTGAGCTCACCGCCCCCCTGTAACCCCAGAGAAGCTGCTTGCTGCCCCATTCTGGTCCCTGCTGGGGCCCTGCAGCCACACATTGCGGCCCCGGGCCCCAAGTCCCATATACCGCTTGGCTGGGCAGCAGCCTGTCCCAACCCCAGCCCTGCCCAACTCCCCGCCACCCTCACTGTGGGGGCTCAATTTCCGCACTCCACCTACTTACTTGTGGGAGCTGCTTTCCAGGCTGCCTTGGGCCACGTGCATTAATATGCATGTGGCACCCCCTGCCTCACTGCCCTCCTCCCGCTCCCTCTCAGCCCTCTGCAGGCTGGAACTCTGGAACTTGCAAAACTACAAAATCTGTGGATTTCTCTGGTAAAATGAGAAATCCACATTTGCCTCTGGCAAATGGTAAAATCTGCAGTTTACTGCATTTTCCCATGGGAAATGGAAGACCCAGATCCATGGTTATAACTTTACAGAGTGCTGTCCTGGTAGGAAGTGCAAGTTATTACAATAAAGCCATATGCTTGTTATATTGCAATAAATAGAAAAAATGCATTATTTTAAATTAAAGTAAAAAGGACAGATGAATAGGGAACAGTTCTGGCAGGGGAAGAGACATCCTATCCTTAGCTGGGAGAGTCCTAATGAAGTCTGCTCACACTACAAATGTCTGACCTCTCTGAGAAGACTACAGATCAGAGAGCAGGCTATTACTTTAAGGAGCCTGCTGGTGATCGACCAATGGAGATCAAGCTGGACTGCAGATTGTCCAAGGCTCAGTTGGAACTAGGTCTGTTTATTTTTGTCTCTCCCTTTGTCTTTCTCTCCCTTTGTCTCTCTTCACAGAACCTAGGAAGGGTAAAGCTCCTGAGGAATTCAGTTCAAGGGTTAAGCTCATAGGTGGAAAGAGAAAATATTATTTGAGGGGGGGAGGGGGCTGAGTGTGCACCCCCCCCCCCAACAACTGCCCAGCAGATAAGTCTGTGGAGGGGAAGGGGCAGGGGGAGAGGGAAGGGATGTGGGCTGGCAGATTGAGGCCCCCACAGTGAGGGAGGGTGTGGGGAAGAGGCAGGAGCAGGAGCCAGGGAGAATGGGACCCTGGGGTGGTTTGTGGGATGGTTGGAGCCTGGGAGGCTCATGCAGAGGTGCCGGGGGGCTCCCACCACTGCGTGCCCCCTGGGGGAGGCACAGGGGCCACGTGCCCCCTGGATTTGTGCATGTGGTGGAGGCAGACTGCTGCTGCAGGCTGGGGCTCTGTGTCCCACTGCTGCTGCCTCAGGAGTCATGTTTGACACCATGTGCCTGCCACCACTAGGCTGTATGGCATCCCCTGCCAACCCAGAGGTGGCAGATAGATGGCATTGCACACAGCTTCCAGGGCAAAGGCAGTGGGGTGCAGAGCTCCAGCACACAGTGGCAGCCCACCTCTACCCCGCACACAAATCTGGGGGGGTACATGCCCCCTGTGCCTCCCTCGGGATGCATGCAGTGGCGGAGCCCCCCCACACTCCTGGATGAGTCACCTGGGCTGCAATCATCCTACAACCCGTCCTAGGGCCCCATTCACCCCAGCCCCTACCCGACTTGCTCCTTCACTGTGAGGGCCTAAATCTGCCTCCTCCCCCTCCACGCCCATTCCCCTTCACAGACATGCCTGCTGTGGTGGGCAGTGCTCCACATGCTGGCAGGCTCTGATCCTGGCTGCCTGCAAGCTGTGGCTGTATGTCTGTCTGTGCATGCCCCTTCCTCCCCCTACACCCCCTGCCCAATGCAGCCGCCCGGAGCCTGCACCTAGGCTGCCCTGTGGCCATCTGCACTGCCACCACTGCCCTGTGTTTGTGGGGAGGAGCTAAACCCTGTTAGCCATGGCCCTCCGCTGCCTATGGTTAAGTTTCTACTTTCTGTCCAGTAATAGCAGCTACCCTCTCTGATGAGAACTGTGGCGGGCCAGTAGGGGGCGCTCCTGCATTGAGCCGCCCACCTCCCTGCGCCCGACCACCTTTCAGGCTCCGAGTGCCTCCCTTAGGGTCCCTCCCGTCCAGCCGACCCCTTCCCTGGAGCACACCCGCTAGCCTGGGGTTCCCGCTGCCACCATCCAAGGCTCTGGACTCACTTCCGGCTCTGCGCACCTTGGAAAACACAGGCCTGATCGTCCAAGGGGTCCTAGACCCAGTACAAGCACTTGGGGCACTTCCCCAAGTCAGGGGCTTATTAGGGAAGCCTCCCTTAGTCCACCGACCTAAGGGGCCTCCTTGG